TCCGGATTGTTGGCAGAGATGGAAAGCCCCGAATTCCTTCGATCTCGATGATTTACTCATCAGTTCTCAAACTTTTTCATGAGCGGATTCGACCAATGATGCATCATAGTGGGTGTGCCAGCCACCAGGTCATGAGCGAAAGGAGGGACGACTGACAGTTTCCAGCCGAAAAAAAAAACCGAAAAACAGAGAAAAACCGAAACACTTCCTGCAAGCATGGCCATGATTCGAACGAAAAAACGAGAGCACAGCGAAGGGAAGGCGCACGCGAAAGGGCACGGGTGAGCTAGAGGGTACAGATACATGGTTGCTGCATAGCGGGCGACAGAAGTACCACTCATGTCCACTAATCAAAAGTGTGGGTCTAGGTCTGCATAGCGACCATGTCTCCCATGACCGAGCAGCGCATCGGTAACCTTCAAGAGTTCAATCCTGCCAACTGAGCTATTACTGTAGTGTACTGGAGGGACCTTAACCGAGGGCGTGCTTCCAATACGTCCTGAGGCCCAAGTTGATAATGTGGTCGCATATCCCGGAAGAGACGACAAATTGAAACACCTTCCAATGCATTCTAGTCAAAATGGACATGATAAGTAGTTATAGAATGATGAGAGCTACCAAGTACGCCTCGGATAAAGGGCTAAAAAGTGAGTAAAAGTGATCAGGACAATCAAAACATCAAACACGGGATCCCAGAACGAAGACAAACAAAAGATATCAAAAAGTAAGCATCTGGTCAAACAAAATGTTGGTTCACTAGGGCAAAATCTTTGGGATGCTTACACCTGAAGTGATGCTCAGAGCAGAAATAAAGGATAAACTGACCGCTGGGACATGATGGACAGCAGTAGTTGTTGCTAGAGCAAGTGAACCCTGGACCACATCCCTAAACAAAAAATTGGAACAAATCGAAGACGAGGCAATCGCTGGACAATCAATTGTAAATGCTCTTACATCTTTGCACAAACCGCTGGTACGACCAAATTGGCATTCGCAGCAGTAGTTGGACGAAGTGCATGAGAAAGATCCACACGAGCCGTTTGTACAACTGGCGATGGCCGTCAGCCCAGCGCAGGCATCTCTCAACATTTTGGTTGTAAAACATCTAGTGTCTGTTGCGAAGAAATGAAGCACAAGAACTAATGGTAAGTCAAACTGTGGCCATTAATGAATCATTGAAGGGATCCTTCCAGAAACTTTCGGCTGAGCCTTTGCACATTGGAGAACTTGGGGACCTAAAAGGCACGAGACGTCGGGATCAGTCGCGCTCAAGCGATACGCTATCTATGCACTACTGTGGCGGGTCTGTAATCACAGAGAGCCTGCCAAGCTCTGTTTCTGGTGCGATTTCTTTATTCTATCTTTTATTCTTTTAGTCTTCTTTGTTATCTCTTTATTCTCTTTTCATGATTCTCTTTCTTTACTTTTCCTAATTCTGGCAAAACTGAGCGGCAGTGACGCACCCGGCCTGGTATTTCAAGGCTATGGTTAACTGAGGAGCTGTAATATGATGATGGCACATTATAGCTCTTCAAGCAACCTAGTCGGGAGGTGATGCATGGCTGACATTACGGCGACAGGGAAGCCGAGCGATGGCTGCGTTTGAATGGCCGATGTCAGAGTCTGCGATTGGAGCGATCGGTCAAATGCCAATCGCGCGACCATCGCGCGATTCGCGCGACGATCGCGCGATTGACATGAGTCCCATCATGACCAATCGCTCCAATCGCGCGATGGGCGCGATCACTCCCGTTGTGGCTGGCGCGCCCCTCTCGATCGATACGTTGACTGAGTATCGATCGAGAGGGGCGCGCCAGCCACAACGGGAGTGATCGCGCCCATCGCGCGATTGGAGCGATTGGTCATGATGGGACTCATGTCAATCGCGCGATCGTCGCGCGAATCGCGCGATGGTCGCGCGATTGGCATTTGACCGATCGCTCCAATCGCAGACTCTGACATCGGCCAATTGCGTAACTCCTTCGAATAGCATACATTATACTGCTTTTGAAGAAAGCCGGATTTACTTAAGAGCCTGTGGACCTTTAAGCCGTTTAGACACGGTGAGCACTTGAATGTGGCGTCAATTATGATACTTTGGCCGCAGTCACGTACAGTGTGCGAGCGCGAACGTAATCAACGACGCCACTTTGCTGTGCAAGGACGCTACCCTGCCATCCTGGGCAGCGATCCAAAAATAGAGCGACGCCGCAGCGTTCGCCGTCCCGCTGGTGCGGGGCGGCCTGGACGCCGCGCCACGTCGCAGCATTCGCCTCGCCGCTCGCGCGGCGAGGCTAAACGCTGCGCGCGCTTCGCGCGCGCGGGCAAGGGGAGGTGATCCCCGGGGTGCCGCCTCATCCAATGTGAGGCGGCAGTTGGTCGTGTGGCAATCAACCACCTTCTACATAAACGGCGCTTAGTACTCTGCGCGGGCCTGCTCGACACATTCTCTCTCCGTTGAGAGGGCGCAAAGAAAACGATAAAGGGGATGCGAGCACACGCTTTAAGCGCGTCAATACGTCGCGCATTGTACGTGACTACAGCAGGAACATCATAATGCACGCTTCATTCAGGTGCTCACCGTGTCCAAACGGCGGCTTAAGTCAAGGCCTCTGTCGACGGATCTTCTCCACGTTTCTTCTTGATTGCTTCCCAGTTCGCATCTCTGTAATTGTTTCGCGGCAAAACACCCTCGATTCCGAACCGTGCCCATATGAAGACTTGACAAGATCGAAGGTTGAAGAAGGTCAAATATGTCTAGTGGAAAGGTAGGCCAGCTCCCTGAGAGTGCGGTACAATGAGTGCTGCGCAGCGAAGGATACGCCACTGACAGCCTAAAGCAGGGCATGCCGCGAGGACGCGGGAGTGAGGCAAACAGAGCCCACAATGGGCTGAGGCTATGAGCTGGCCGGCGGATGCTCCTGTTATTATAGCCATGCTTGCTCTTCATTTTGAAAGGATTTCTATTCATTTTGAGCAGCCGTATCGTTTAATTTTCCTCACGATCAGTACTGCATATCAATAAAAGGGGCAGAAGAGCAGCAATCCATGTTTTCCAGGTTGCGTCGGCAAATGAGGGGAATATGACCATCGCAATTTTCGCAACGTCTCTAGGTAAAAGGTGTGGCGACGCCTGTGGGATGCCGACGTTTGGAAGGAAATGATTGGCTCTGAGAGACCAGCTTTCAGGGACACAGGAAGCCGGAAAATATTCAGATGTATCTTTACTGAGTTTGAAAAGGGGCGGGCAGTAAATAAACGCTTGAGGCAGACACCCCTGGAACGCACTCACTTTGCCACTCGTCTCCTGTGGTTCTGCAACATAAGCCATTAATGCAAGTCTGTCCAGAGGAGCACTCGATCCGCGATGAGCACCTCATCTGCGATCGCTCTCCATTGTAGCAGTATCCTGTAACATAAAAGGAAGACTGCACGCGGATTAGAAAAAAATTCAGGACGAATACGAACTACATGAAAAATCCAGGCAAACTGGTTCCAAATCTTAACTTGGATCAATAAATACCACAACGGAAGGAACTCCAGTTAATTTTTCAGCTTCTCTCGGGATTTGTAGCCGAGGAATAGCAAAGTAGAAAAGGCACGTGATCTAATAAAAGCATTCAACATGGTTGAGACAATGTGTCGTCGCTCTAGGTCTGAACTGAGCACTGATGTGTTGTAGTATATTCAGAGGTAACATGTCTACCATTTAACCGCGCTCAGCTTTGGTTCATGGAGGGCCTAAGCGATGAGTTTATCATGTTCTCGAGCAATAGTTTCTCTACAAAGGGCAAATAATATCAAAAGTAATAAGCCAGTTGAAAACTGTAGATCAACCACTCGGCCGCTTACACGATTACGCCATGCACTTCTCGACCACTTTGCTTTCATTCAGAATCGTGGCGGCTTCTGATTCTTTCTGGCCCCCTCAGTGAACCGCGGGCCAGCCGATAAACAAGTCAGTGTTTTTATTTTCCACACAAAGCTGGAACCGATTAACCGGCCCTAGAGAGATTCATGCCCTGATTAAACTGGATTTTTCACCCCCTGACGGATACTACATTACTACTCCCATGATATTTGAGGATCTGGGAACTATACGTTTTTAGATTTGTTAGGTCATTTTGTGGAGTTTCCTCTTCTCAATTCAGTATAGAACTTCAACGTCAAGCCCTCATTTTCTAAAGGAGATTGTCTAGATCTAAAGGTACAGAATCTGAGCCTGACATTTGATTCCTCATCATGAGCGAGCACGTTATTGAAGTACTTACCGTACCCACCGATGCCAGTCGTGGGACTTGTCGTTGTCATAATGGGTGACGTGCAGCAGCAGCCACTCATGCAAATTGTGGGACTCGTAGAAAACGGTGTACACTGGAAGAAATGCTGAGCTTGTTTCAGCTTTACATTACTGAGTAACACTGTTGTCTGTTTGATTGTCATCTGATTGAAATTCTCGGAAATTTATTATAAACCTGAAAGTCGGATGAACATCCAACTCCAATAAGGAGTCCTCCATTTGCACAGTACTGAACAGAAGGCGCAGCTGCATTGTTGTAACACCCTAAAAATGGTTTTCAGGATTTTTTGCAGCAAAGTTACACCTTATGATCATTTCACAGTTTATGAATTTACACTCAAGGCTTCTTCTTCTTCTTAAAGCAGCCTTGAGCGTAAATCGGCTAGCTCTACGGGATTTGAGCCGGTACGGTACGGTCCATTTTCGAGCAGTGACCCTTTTGATGGTTCCCAGCTTCACTGACATACACACAAATTGTAAAATGTATGGCGAATAAAAAATCGATTCGGGCTTTAGTGTGCCAAGATGCAAATTCTCGAATGGTTCGATATCGCATGCTTAATTAGAATCTGTTTATTGTAGAGTTTTAGCGGGTGCGCGAAAAAAGGAATAGCCAAACGCTGAGAGCAGAGTGTTCCTGAGTTGATTCGTTCGAGAGAAAATATCACTGCGAGGCTCAAACAGTAGTTGAGCTCATGACAGACCCATTGCAAAAATGGCAACTTCAAAGTTCCAAACCACAGTGAAATATAGAGCTCCGCCAGTATAAGAAAGTGTGGCTCTCAGTGGATTATGCTTAGCCATAGCACCCCAATTCACTCCCCTACCGAAGAGCACCGTAACCCGACGCCGAAGGAAAAGTATGAAGTAGCACATGCACAAAAGTGAGCGGCAAGAAACAAAATAATGAAGTTCCAGTTCAGCAGACCGTTGATAAAGTGTGAAACAGCGAGTGAAGAAAGCAGAGCTCCTGCACTATCACCGGTGAAGATTATGGCTATTCTAAGACGCCCATTCTCATAGCTCTAATTTATGGCTCAGAATTCTGGTCTCGATGTTCCGGAGTCTCTGTTGATCTAAATGTGTAATAAACAATGAGAGACTCCAAATATTTAGTGCAGAAGACTCTAACCAGGAAGGTCTTCCAGGGCGTGACAAGCTTTTTGAAAACGGTCTTTTGCATGATATAGGGGCAGATGCGGGAACCACAGAACCATGTTCAATTTTTCCTGAACGGCCCTCTGAATACCAGAAAAGGAGGTCCCTAGTTCGATTCCTCGTGGTAACAAATTTTTGCATTTCGAGTTGACGTTCCAATCAAACATTTGCAGATCAAAAAATTGGAGTCTAGCAGAAATATCAACCAAACAATCAGGGAGCGAGCGTCCGCCCGAATTTTGGAAAGCCCAACTCGGTATAAAATGAAAGAATTTCACCGAGAGAGCGAGATCGAACTAGCGGTACACCCCTTATTCCTGTGTATTAGGTGCGAAGACGCCGTTAGGAACAAATTCAAACAGGTCTGTGGTCCCCGCATCTGCCCTATATCATGCAAAAAAACCGTTTCACAAGCTGTTACGCTGTGGGCGGCACGCCCTGAACGAGCTTCGCTGTAAGGAACGTTTTCCAAAACTTTTGCACAGCAACGAGTTTTCAGAGTCTTTGTAATAAATATGCTCGATCTCACATTGTTTATTCACACATTTGAATCATTCATATGGTTAAAGCCGCGCGGCCCACGAGTTTTACAGCGCATCCAAAACGTGGTTAGAGGTGCGTTCTGTCCTTGCCACGTGATTTCTTACGTTTCTTATTGTTAGAATACCTCTCTAGCCGCAGCTCTTATTGAATGGCAATAGGCAGAACAAGGGCAACAAAAATTCTGACAAGAAAATAACAAAATTCTTACAGAAGCTAAACAGGAAAAAAGTTTAGCCTTAAGGTCGAGGCTGGATTTAGATGGGAAAGCGGAAGCTCACTCTAATGCTCCAGTTCGCGGCTCGGCAAACATAGGCTCCAACAAGCGCATTGAGCAATTCTGCTTGAGTATGAAAGCAAGGAAGCAAAGTTGACCGCCGTTTAAGCAAGAGGTAAGAACAAAGCACTGAAAGTACGTAAAACTGATGGATAGTTCCATGCGGAGGAGGGAGGCAGACAGCGAGATCAGAGATGATGTGCAGTTGCGAGAGAACAACAGATAGAGACGAGAAAGAGCATAGCTGGGAGTAGTAGAACCAATGAGGGATACAGTGACAGATGGACCAGCAGCGGTGCGAACGGGCATCGTTTAGTGAATAATAACATCGTTTTTAGAGCATCCTTCAAAGCAGCAAGGCCTCCTATCGCTTCTAGAAACCCTGCTCTTTCCAAATGACTTGTAGCATTTCACTTAGCCCATCATGGGCTAGGGAAGGGTCAAGCGTCCGTTGGGAGAAGTTCCAACAATGGGAGTCGTATTCGCGAACAGGGGGAAGTTGGGAGGTTGTATCTAGGGTTGGCCAATGTCGAAAGCTGGAAAAGGTGGGTTGTATTTGTGAAAGTTGAAAAGTCGTGGTTGCGGGAGAGAGCACGGTCGTTTCAGACGGATATCGGGAAAAATTTGGAAAGCAAGTATGAAGTGCTCGAATTTAGAGGAATGGCTGCTCCACTAGACAAATATAGTATTACCCCCTTCCCTGTCCCTCCTCTCATCTTTGCTCTACGAACAATCTGGAGGAACGAGTGAGCCGGCTGATCTCAAAATCTGATACCATAGAAGCAGCCAAGACGAAGAGATTGGCATAGGGGTAGGGAGAGACAGGTGGCGATTGCGGTTGTGAATCGAATCGAGACCCCTGGAGAGGGGAAGAGTCGTAAAAGTTTTGAAAAGTGCCAGCGCTAGGTTTGAGCCTGGGCTAGGATCCCTAAGGCATCACTGTCCAGTGGTCAGTATATGAAGGCGCTTTACGTTTGCTCACAACTTTTTTTGAGATTTTCGAGAGCTGGTGAACAACGGAAAATGCAGGGAATGTCACGTTTACTCATGCGGAAAATTTCGGGTGTGGCAATTTTTTCTGAATCAAAA